CACTTACTGAATTCTCATGCTTAATCTTCACACCATTCAGTCTAAGGTCAATACTGTCGTGATCTTTCTTTCTGCTGCAGAACAAACCGACGGTTTTAGCTTCCGAAATAATGAAGCCCCAGTCGTTTGCCCATTTAGCAACTTGGTTCAGAGCAGTTTGCATACGCCATTTAACTTTATTGAGGTCATTGTGACCAGTCCATATCGAACTGTCATCTGCATATAGAGCCGTGCTAACCGAGAGCTCTATATGCTTTACATAATCCAGGGCCAGATCATTGATCATAATGCTGAAGAGGGTTGGGCTAATAACAGAGCCTTGCGGGGTGCCATTCTCCAACGAGTGCTTCTCGCTGAGAGAATTGGCGACGTTCACTTGTATCTGGCGATCCCTTAAGAAGTCTTGGATCCACCTGAACATGCGACCCCGAATGCCAAGTTTATTAAGTTTAAAAAGCAAACCATCAACCCAGACTAAGTCAAAGGCCTTGGACAGATCCAGGAATACTGCACTGAAGTAGTTCTTCTTTCCGAGTTGGGCGGCCATGTCGTGTTGAAGTCGAACGATTTGATCCATTGTTGACCGTTTCTCTCTGTAGCCGCTTTGGTTGGGATCGATAAGACCATTTAGTTCACAGTGGTATCTAAGTCTATTATTGACCATCGTCTCANATGTTTTACATAGAGTCGAGGTCAGAGAAATAGGCCTGTATGAACTGCATAGACTTTTATCTTTCTGCGGTTTTGGTAGAGGAATGACCATTGCCGTTTTCCAACTTTCCGGAATTGTACCATTATACCATGATTTGTTGAATAATTCTAGTAGAACTGTAGACGCTTCCATTGGTAACTCCTTTAACATGCTGTACTTGATATTATCTTCACCAGTAGCGCTGTCTTTCTTACTATACAGTGCTTTCTTCAGCTCGTCGAGGGTGAAGGGAGCGTTAAGATCCCGTTCATCCTCTAAGGGCGAATGATGAATTGGAGTGTGGTTGGTGTAGAAGGTCTTCTTGTTCTTTA